TGGGTGCTTCCTCAGTACGCCACTGGCCACATCTTCCCTTTCATCTGTTGATACAGTACAGTATAATTGCAGGGTTTTCAAATTTAAACTGTTCAGAAACTTAATTTAACTTTAGCTAACTTGTATCATGAAACACTTCACCTATCGGACTGACAAAAACTTGAGAGATTTCCAGGCTGGAGAGATGGTTCCGTAGTTAAGAGCATCCGCTGTTCAACTGCAGGGTTCCAGTTTGACTCATAGCACAGTGGGTCACAAGCCTCTGTAACTCCAGTTTCAGGGAATCAGATGTCCTCTCCCGGCCTCTCCCGGTACCAGGCATGTACATGATGCACATACATATGTGCAGGCAAAACAACCATGTAAAAATTAAAAAAAAATCTTTATATTTTACATATGTTGTATTATTCTGGTATTGCCTCTCTTGACCACAGCACGGATATTGTGTCTTTTGATGTGGAGTAGGTTTTGATTGTTCTAGTCATGTCCAATCATACTAATTGCATACATAAGCTTTCTTCATGAAGAATCTTCTCCTGACGCTGATTTAGGACATCTCTGGTAGGCATCGGATTTTCTTGTGTGTGTGTGTATCTGCTTTTGAATTCTAGTTTTCCACTCTGGGATTCCACTTGCCTAACTTTAGGCCATTGCTACACTACTTTATGTTATTGCTTTAATTAATTAATTTGTTGTAAAATATAGGGTCTCATGTAGACTGAGCTAGATTGAACTGGTTATATAGACCTTAAACTTATGACCCCATGCTTCCCCGTCCTGAGTGTTGGCATTACAGCGTGTCAGGTTATTTAAAACTCTGGCCTTCGGAAATGCATTTCCGTATATGGCATGAGAACAGTTGTTACTGCTTTAGACTTTAAAATTTTTTCCTTTCACTTTTAATGTCTTTCTTTCTTCCTTCCTTCCTTCCTTCCTTCCTTCCTTCCTTCCTTCCTTCCTTTCTTTCTTTCTTTCTTTCTTTCTTTCTTTCTTTCTTTCTTTTTTGAGAAGTTCACACAATGTATTTCGGTAATATTCTTTCACCTCTCTCAACTCCTCCCGGAAGCCGCCAGAAACATGGAGTCTGATTTGTGTTGGCCAGCTGCTCTGAGCATGAGGTCTGCCTTTAAGAATGCTCAATATAGGCCGGGCAGTGGAGGCGCACGCCTTTAATCCCAGCACTTGGGAGGCAGAGGCAGGCGGATTTCTGAGTTCGAGGCCAGCCTGGTCTACAGAGTGAGTTCCAGGACAGCCAGGGCTACACAGAGAAACACTGTCTCAAAACACCAAAAAAAAAAAAAAAAAAAACAACCAAAAAACAAAAAACAAAAAGAATGCTCAATATACTCAGGGCCACTTTGTGCTACCCTCTCTTGCAGCCAATAGCAAACAGCTTCCTGTCTGGGGGCGGGACTTTGTACATTCCTTCCAGTTCTCCATTCTGGGATTAGGGATTTTCGACTCTTCTCTCTGATTTCTGGACATTTGCTCCTTTGTGAGTGTGCATGTCTATTGCACTACCTGAGTGTCTCGTCTGCTCTGTTGGTTCAGACGGAAGCTCTTTGTTTAAGATGTTTGCTGATTTAGTAAGAAGAGCGTGGCATTCATGACTTTACTTCCAAAACCTTTTGCTTCTTTATGGTGTAGATCTTTTCGATTACAGTTTTAAATTTTTATTCCTGTTATTATCTGTGCAACTTTTAAATTTTTCCCATAGAAATTTCGACATTTTAGTTTTCTCTTTATTTCTGGGTATTTCAGGATTTTGTTGCTGTTGTGAATATATTTTTCCAGTTATTTTTTCCTCTAATATTTCATCTCTCTGGGTGTTTGCACACTTCCTCTGTCTTTAAATTTTCTTGAATTAGATCAGAAGTCAGGCCACAAGGAGGGAGGAGGGATCCTTCCTCATTAGGAGAAGAGAAGGTTCTGGAAAGATTCCACAAGGAGCCTTCCTTTTGAACAGGGTCTCATTGGGAGGTGAGCTGTACAGTTGATGGGTGGGAAGGGAACAGGCAGAAGCTATGTGGTGAGGTCTAAAAGTTGGAAATAATCCTATTTCTTGTGAGCCTGGGACAGGTGGATGGAGTTGGGTTCACCTTCTCTGTGGGTCTGAGCCATGATCCATGATAACTACCACACCCAGAAGTAAACTGTGATTACAGTTGGTGCACATAATGAGAACAAAAAACTTTACAGTGTATAATACTTTCCTTCTCTTGCTGTGATAAAACATTCTGGCCAAAAGCAGCTTAAGGGAATGAAAGGTTTATTTTCAGTTTCCAAGTCGCAGTCTGTCATTGAAGGAAGTCATGGAAGGACCTCAAGCATGAAGCAGACACCAAGGAGGAATGCTGATTGATGGCTCGCTCTTAAGCTCATGCTTGGCTAGTTTTCTACATAGCCCAGGAGCACATGCCTAGGGAATGGTGCTGCCCATAGTGGATTTCCTATATAGTTATCAGTCAACACAACCCCCCACAGACATGCCACAGGCAATCTGATCTGGGCAGCTCATCAGCTGAGATACCCTTCTTAGGGACTCTAGCCTGTGTCAAGTTGGCAGTTGACAGTTGAGGCTAACTAGAACACTAGACAATTGCAATCTGTTTCCAGAAACATGCAATATTTTAAATAAAAAAATGGAACTCTAACAAATACTAATACGCACTAGGCAAATTTCAAAGAATTGAACATACAGTTACTCTTCGTAGCTGATGCATTGGAATGAGACACCAACTTAACAAAATAGTTTATTCACTTGGATATTGACAATAGATTTAAAAATTATTGATAAACTCAAGAACTCACACATATTGAAAAGGAAGTGAAGCTGAAAACCTGACACTGACCTTTGTGGTGTACAGCTTGAGTTGTGCTTTGTAAGAAGGTTGACACAGGATGCCTCCTAGTCAAACATAAACCAAAGCACACAGTAAGTCCATGTGGGAACTGTTGGAAAAGCAAACCACAGACATGAAAGCAAAGAGCTCACTGGTGAAGAGAAAAAGTACATGTATAATTCAACAAGGTCCCTCAGAAGAGGCTGGGAGATGCTCAGTGGTTTAGGTGCTTGATTCATAAGACAGGGACTCAGGTTCAAGCCCCCAGAACCCATATTAATGACAGGTATGTATGGAGGCCCCATGTAATTCCATCTCTGGAAGGCAGAAGCAGAAGATCCCAGATCAAGCTGTCTAGCAACACCAGCCATCACCTGCAAGTTCTGGGTTTGACTGAGTGATCCTGCCTCAGTGAATAAAGAGGGAGAGAGTGAGGATGATTCCCGATACCAGCTGATGATCTCGAACATGCATGTTCACCCACACATGCAAAACACACATGTGCAGCCATCCCACTCATGTAAAACTGTCAGAAACTAGTTCATCATCTAAGGTAAGCTGAGGAAGGCAACAAGGTATGGTATCAGCAGTGACCAAAAGCTGGTGACTTTTGGCTGTTTAATTCTTTCTTGCTAGGTCAGGGCAAAAGGTGATGGCTTCTGGCAGTTAGCTCCTGCTGATAGCAACAGGGGTTTTAGAAAAGAAACTTGGTTACTTGGGGTCTTTACTCTTTAACTCGGGGGAGGGGGGTTTGCTGGCCAGGCAAGTGATCAGAGTTGATTAATTTGTGAACCAGAGAGAAAGGAAAAGAAAGAAAAGAAATCAGGCACACACTGGATGAAGCAGAAGAGGGTTATATCACCACTTTATTTTTATTTATTTATTAATTAAAGATTCATTTATTTGTTTTATGTGAATACACTGTTGCTGTATTCAGATATACCAGAAGAGAGCATTAGATTCCATTACAGATGGTTGTGAGCCACCATGTGGTTGCTGGGACTTGAACTCAGGACCTCTGGAAGAGCAGTCAGTGCTCTTAACCTCTGAGCCTTCTCTCCAGCTCTTTGCCACTTCATTTTTGTTCTTAGTTTTTACACCTTTTCAAACAAAAGATTACCTCATATAACTATCAGGTAGAACCGTTGCAGCAGGATAGTTGATTACATGGTTTTCTAAACACTTTTACATTGATAAGTTCAGAGCAAGTTTGAAGCAATAGTTCATGTCATAGGTTGATCAGGTTTAAGGAGTTACGGCAGAATCATTTACATTCTTTCCATTAGAACTAGTACCTGACTAAACATCCATTATCTATTTTCTAGCCCCACAAGTTCATTACAAGTTTAAAACAATAGTTTTTATGTCACAAGTTAGCAAGGCTTTGTCAAGAGACAAATCATCTGCCTTGTGTCTTATTATTTAGAAATTTTGTATAGATTAGCTAGTCAATAATTTATTTTCTGTCCTTGCACCTGCAATAAATTACCAATTCCCAGTTTATGACCTTTAGTGGCCTCGTTCCTAACCTAGAAAGAATATTTCCTTTGATGGTAAATTTGTCCCAAGCCTGTTTTCTTTTCCTAGTACAATTAACCTGTGACACGTGAAGGTTTGCAGAGTTCTATTTGCAGTTCTTATTCTACAGGGGGCATGAGTTTACTTGTCTTAATTCAGGAGTTCTATAAAATCATTATCAGGAATTATGAAGTCATCAATTCATCTAAACTTCATAATTACATGAAAGTTCATCTTCATATTGATTCTGCAGGAGATCTGCCCAATAGGGTGGGCTGATGCCCAAGAATCATTAGGCTATGTAATAGTGGCAGGGAAGGCATATCAGTATCGAGAAGCAACCCTGGGATGAAATCTTTTCTGACCTTGCTTCTCAGAGCACACCCATCACAGCCATGCAAAATGGTGGGCCATCTCCAGGAAACTCACTTGCTTGCTACAGCCTTTCCTACATGGCTCTTGTCATAAAACTATGCATAACACACACGCACTCGCACATAAACATTACTAAGTGTCCTCACCTGAGCTCTGCACCTTTGTTCTGCAGAGCAGTGTAACCTGTGTTCGCTGAGCAGCAGGGCCCCTCCCTCACATGCTGTTTTGTGTCTCCCCTCCCCTCCCTTCATCAATGGTTTCCAGTGAGATGAGTCAGAAAATGGCCAAGGAGGGCCCCAGGCTCTCCAAGAACCAGAAGTTCTCAGAGCACTTCAGCATCCACTGTTGCCCACCCTTCACCTTCCTCAACTCCAAGCGTGAGATCGTGGACCGCAAGTACAGCATCTGCAAGAGCGGTTGCTTTTACCAGAAGAAGGAGGAAGACTGGATTTGCTGCGCCTGCCAGAAGAGCAGGTGAGCATGGGCTCTGGGCCAGGTCTGCACCACATTCCCCCTACTCCATCCATGACGGTCAGCTCCCTGGAAGGAAGGTTCTGGAGGGCGAGCAGAAGGTGGGAGGGCGGTCCGGGCTTTCCTGCAGTTTCCAGTTCCTGCCAGCATCCCTTAAGTGACGGTGGAGGGCCCCCGGCTGCAGCCTCCAGCTTCTTTTGACCCTCTCTGCACCAGCCGCCGTGCCACGTCCCCTCAGAGGCCCAAGCACCAGCCAGCTGCGTCCCCCGTGGTGGTCAGAGCGCCGCCAGCCAAGCCAAAGTCCCCTCCGAGGCCAGCCAAGCCAAGGTCTCCTCCGAGGCCAGCCAAGCCAAGGTCCCCTTCAAGGACTGAGCGCCAGCCACGTCCCCGCCCAGAGGTCCGACCACCACCAGCCAAGCAGAAGCCCCCTCAGAAGTCTAAGCAGCCAGCAAGCAGCAGCCCCTTCAGAGGGCCAGGCACCAGCCGCGGGGGTTCTCCCACCAGAGCTGCTAGGTTCTGGTAACACCATCTCTTGCCTATTGTCCCCCCCTAGCCCAAGGTCAGTAGCTGCTCTCGGCAAGTACTAACACGGGGATCTCTCCACAATACCAAGCCTATGTAATCCACACCCTGAATTAAACCCCCTCTGTTTGAAAGACCTGGCGTGGCTTCTGTTTTTCCAGATGTTACTGGTCCTCACTTCAGATGGCTGTGTCTGTGCCAATCCACAGGACTACGAGCATAGTATTGACCACAGTGGCAGGCTGAGTGTATGAACCTCCTTAACCTCCTTGTGCCTCAGAGAGGCGTAGTGGTAACTCTGGTGAGCTCTGTCTATGCATGTGTGAAATGAGAGGTCCTGACGCTCTGTTTGCTGACCTTCCTGACGCATTTCATTAGATATCTGTTTGCTCAGTCAGCCACTCAGCAAACTGTACTGCCTTATAGATAATAAGGTTCTATATGCTGTACCGGGGAGAAGAATATCACTTGTGATTTCCGAGTACCCAGAAGAGACAAGTTGGCCCTGGTGTGCAGAGTAAACCCTCCAGTACTGCCGTGCTCGGATGTATACGCCCATGGGAGTCCTCAATGGGGACTTTCCAGCTCTGCCGTGGGAACCTGCGGCTTCACAGAGAAAATTAGGTTGGGGTGGGCAAACTGGAGAAGGATGGCTAGAGAGGCACTTACCCATCTGCTCTGCCTTAGGGTAGACCAGTTTCTTTTCTTCTTTTTGAGATAGAGACTCACACTGTAGTTCAGGCTAGCCCAGATCTTACTCTGTTTCTAAGGTTGACTTCAAACTTATAAAAATCCTATTGCTTTAAACTCCTAAAAATGCTTGGATTAAAGGTGTGAACTTCCATGCTTGGTGGTGACCTCCTCTTCTTCCTTCTCCTCCTCTTTCTCCTCCTCCTCTTCCTCTTCTTTATAGACTTTAATATTTTTTTTTTGGTACAGTTTTAGGTCCACAGCAAAACTGAGGGGGGTAGATCTGTGTGATGGCTCAGGCAAGATCTAGTTTCCCTGCTCCGAACACATGGTGGGCAGCATTTTTCTATCTGAAGGTAGATCTGTGTCGTGGGTCCACAGCGAGCACTGGTCCACATCCTTTTCACTCTGCTGCTCAGCCTCTGTGCAGCTCTAAAGAACCCCCGAGAGAATCTCATGTGTGATTCCGGGGTGTCTTCATTTTCAGACACAGCAAACAACCCTGACTTCAATATCCCTAAATAAGTAACCGTGTCTGTCATCTGTGGCAGCTGTCATGTTTCTGACACCCCCAAATGAAAGCGTTGGTGAGATGCAAGAACAAATGACTTACCCAGCTAAGGAACTAACTGGGTGCTGTTCTCCAGGCCTTAGTAGAGAGGTGTATCCAGGCTGACTGGTCATTGACCAAGTCTCTCCGAGAGACTCCAGTCAAAAGGTGAGTTCAGCTGGCTAACTTCCGATATACAGAAGTGGCCAGAAGATGGAGGGAGCTGAGGTTGTCCATTTTGTACAGAAGAGGTAGTCCTTCATAGAAAGTCAAGGGATGCCTCCGTGGGTGGTCAGAGCTCAAGCTGTGAATGGACATCCTCTCAGTCACTCTCTGGGTATCTGCTATGGTGCTTCCGCTGGCTGTGCCCTACTTCCCTGGAAACATAGGACCAGCTTCCTAACAGCCTGTGCCTCTCATGCACCCCTGAGTCCCACCCAATACTCAAGCTTCCTTCTCAGACTCTCAGAGGTCCTAAGGCAATATACTAGAATAGATATTTAACCACCATATCCTTTATTCTAATTATTGATCTGACTATTTCCAACCAGAGGCATAGGAGGCACGTTAACAGGAGCAGTTTACACCCAATCAAGGCAGCTAGGTCAGACATTTAAAAAGGGTTTAAGAGGTTTTCTGAAGCTGCCCGATGTTAGAGATGATCCTGACATATCTAACATCCTGTACCTGAGGTATTGTATTGACAAATCAGACGATTCAGACGCGGATCCTTTTTGGATTTATAATAACTCCTCAGAAAAGGTCCTCTCCCCAAACTGGAGAATATCTCAGTTTTGAAAATGAATTGGCTTGGTTTTCAGCATCCCAGTGGAAGGTAGAAATATCTATTTTTTGATGGGAGGTTGTCATGGCATGTCTCTCTGAGTTTATCCTTTTCTGTGTCTTTTAAGATTGGGGATTTAAGGTCAGGAGCTGCCACTGCAGAGATCATGCTAAGAGATCAGATCCACAGCCCGGAAAAATTAGGCCACGTAACTAAAAAGTACCTTCTTTCAACTTCAATTTCCACTATTCACTATGACTAGTAAAAACAAAAGAATAATTTACTTTTGTCCGTTGACCTTACCTATGGTGGTGTTGCTCACTCTAGCTTCTTTTGGTGGAGTCTGGGGTTTTATGCATCACACTTAAGGCTGTCAGTAGAGACAGTTGTGCATTTTCTGTTCCAATCTGCTTACCTACATGTGTATGTTTTGAACTGCTATCTTGCTGAAAACACATTTTGAGATATGGCTCAGTGTCTTCAGGGTTTATTGTCAAGCTGGAGGACAGCCCCAGATGGACTTTAGAAGACGCACAGGAGCTCTAGTCGCTGCTAGCACCTCTATGGCATCGACTGACAACCATTAGATGCTGGCATCACCCTGGTATTCGATGAGAAATATGCACTGCAGCCCTTGGATTCAATTTATGTGATCAATTCCACTCTGATGTGATGTAGAGCCAGCTTGTTCTTGGAGGGAGCCCACACTCCTGTGAATGGATTTAGGGCGCTTCCTTCTCCAGCCTCACACAGTCCTGGACTATTTCTTTCTTCTGATCTGCTACATGAGAAGGCTTTGTAACTTCAAACTTTCAAAGCTATGTAGAGTGAGATCAGGGTGTTTTACAGATGTTTGATCCTCGTGGGCTACCATCCTCCAGCCTTCCTGTTTTGCTTGGTCTGGACAAATGGCGTCAGATATTCCTGGAAGTGATGTATTCTTCTCTTGCATCTGAGGAGTTGCCATTATTATAGGTTTAGGGAGCTCTGCTCTGTGCCTCATGACCTCACACTTCCTGCTGAGAAGATGCTGCCCTCTGCTGGGCATGGACTTGGTATCTGTGCGTCTCCCTTCCAGGACTGTGTGTAAATCAGGCTCTGGTAATCTTATGCTCATCTCTCGCTAGAGCCCAATTCAGGGTTTAGCTGACGTTGGTGACTGAATGAGTCCAAATAATTTACCTCACAGTCTAACCCAGCAGAAGGTGTACGGCTTTAACATCACGTTTGAGTCCGTGCTTCTTGATAAACTGTTGACCAGTGCTTGTCTGGGCCCACATATTTGTAATACATTTATTAAATGTTGCTTACCTTTTTAAATGTATTTCATTCCCTATCAAATTAGGGACATGTCAACCTCGTCAGGAGTTTATGTAACAGAGTTCATAAACACGGATGCGCACACGGTTACGTTTAAGTCCACGGTATCAGTCACTGCTCTCACTGATGTGACAAGATATCTGGGCAAGCAGGTTAGGAAGGTTCACTTTGCCTCACAGTTTGAAGAGATACAGTCCACCATGGTGAGCAAGGTGTATTGGCAAGGACCCGAGGCGGCGGGTCACATGACATCCACAGTCAGGAAGCAGAGAGGTGAGCACTGGTGCTCAGCTCGCTTTCTCCTTCCTATTCAGTCCCCGACCCCCAGACCATGGGCTGTTACCCCTCACATCCCAGCTAAGTCTTCTCTTCTCACGGAGAAGAGAAGAGAAGAGAAGAGAAGAGAAGAGAAGAGAAGAGAAGAGAAGAGAAGAGACTTGTCCACAAACACAGAGATGTGCTTCCTTGGTGACCCCAAACCTAGGCAAGTTGCCAACGAAGAGCAAGAGAAAGTGAGTTGAGCGCCTGACTGTGCATGCCATGTGACCTGCAGCCTCAGGTCCTTGTCACAAGTAATAAAACGTTTTTGTTTCTGTTCTAGGAGCAGGATGTACTTATGCTATCTCTGTGTTCTTCTGGGTCCCTTATTACCAGTCACCAGAAAACCAAATACTAGTATGCATGGAAACAGAGATCTATCTATCTATCTACCTATCTATCATCTATCTATCTATCTATCTATCCATCTATCTATCTATCTATCTATCTATCTATCTATCTATCATCTATCTATGTATCATCTATCTATCTATCTATCTATCTATCTATCATCTATCTATCATCTATCTATCTATCTATCATCTATCTATCTATCTATCATCTATCTATCTATCTATCTATCATCTATCTATCTATCATCTATCTATCTATCATCTATCTATCTATCTATCTATCTATCATCTATCTATCTATCATCTATCTATCTATCTATCTATCATCTATCTATCATCTATCTATCTATCTATCTATCTATCTATCATCTATCTATCTATCTATCTATCTATCTATCATCTATCTATCTATCTACGTTTCTTAGGCTCAGTTCAGGAAAAAAAGAAATCAACATATCAGTTTTGAGCAGAGATTACCAGAGTTGAGAAATCAAAAAGAGGGATTCTAAAGCTGGGTTTCTGAGGAGAAAAATAACATCACAAATGGTTCATTCAGAGCTCAGCAGCTGAAAGCCCCTCTTGCTCTGGTAGGACCTGATTTCAGTTCCCAGCGCCCACACAGTGGCTCAAAACTCTCTGTAACTCCAGTTTTAGCGCCCTCTTCTGGAATCTGTGAGTACTGCATTTGCGCGCGCGCAAAGGTCCACGAAGTCACTGTTGTATTAAATACTCTGTAGGAAGTGGACATCACTTACCAATTTGTGAATCTTTCTTTTTCTTTCTATAAATCAGATTGAGAAGGAGGAGCAAGTCAACCCCAAGAAAAAAGTGACCGAGAAGGGACTTCTCATGAATGGACAGCCTCTGCCTGTGGACTTACTGCTTTCCCGCAACCCATCTGCCCTCAGACGAATTATCTGGCCTCGAGTATGATGCAGGGGTGGATGCCTGCTGATGTAACAACCACAGATGCCTTCAGTCCCTATGGTGTGGGAGCCTTAGGGCAACCTGTCTGGAGGTGAGGTGGGGGCTCTTCGTGTCATAATCCAGCCATGGAGTCCTGGAAGGACCCCTTGGGCTCCAGAGCTCAGGGGATGGGTCTTTTGGTTTCATCTGGGGCCCTTTTCTCTCTGGCAGGTGCACAGTTCCTCAGGGTCTTTGGCAAAGGTGACTGCAGAGTTAATCCTCACGTGGTCTTCCTTCTTCCTATTCCCCTCTCTTCCTGCATCTGGTCGACAAACCTGGCTCTTGATCTTTTTCTTCCTAATTCTCTGCCTGGTCTCTCTTGTTCATATGCCATTTGCTTCCCATTCACCTCCATAGTCAGCACTAGTCAGAGCCAAAGTTGACATTGGTGAAGGTCCATGTTATTATTAGAGTAAGATACTAAGTTGTTGTGTGATCCTTAAATGTGGTGATGTTCTGATAGGAGATCACATTAAATTCCCATGTCAACTGTAGGTAACTTGTGTCAGAAACAGAGGAAAGGGAGGCATCCTCCCCCTCTGCAGGCCCAGTCTTCAGCCTCTCACAGGGCTTGGTGAGAACCAGCCCCTGCCCCAGTCTGAGGGAGAACAACGCCCTGCAGCATTGCCTTTAACCTGCACAGTTAGCGCTCACCTGCATAGACTGGTGCAGCTCTGACTGCTTTCAAATTATATAACTTAGGAAGGTCAGGGCTTCAGCCCTGTCCCCGAATCCCCATCACTTCCCTTGTGTCACCCTGGACCTGGGCACATGTCCCCATGCACACTTGTATAGGTCTAGAAAGAGTGCTGGGAGAGTTTCTGTCTCCAAATCAAACTTCCTCAAATTCCCGGTGAAA